TGTTGAAACTGGCCTTCAACAGAGCCTGGTAAAGGCTATCCACGGGGAAACAGAAAAGAAATGTGGGTCCCTAGAACTCAGGACTGAGTAGGTATCCCTGACATCCAGAAGGAAAGTGGATTGCCCTGGGACTGTGATAGCTACCCAAGGCTCCCTGTTGGGGATGGCAGAGGTCAGGCCAAGCCCCCTCAGTTGTTCATGGCCAGACTAAGGGGATTGGCTGAAGGGAGATCTGAACTTGATGTCCCCATGCCACAAGGGAAATGGAAGCCATCAATACTCCAATACCCTTCTTGATGGACCTTAGACATGGTCCAGGTGGTTTACAAGGATTTGGACAGGCTTGAGCCAGTGACCCTTCTGACCACATTTGAAACAAGGACATTCTTGGGCTTTTGGGAGGCCAGGGAGCCTGGGCTTTTACTTTGGCCAGCTGAGAGCCCTTAGCCATCACTTGGTATTTTTGTTTTCAGGCTTTTTTATCTTTCCTGAGGTACATCTTGAAGGCCGCAGCTAAAATTTCCACCTGAGGAGTCAGGAGTGAGTCTCTAGATGTTTAAGTTTGGCTCCAATATCAGGAAACTCTGGGAAAAGAAGTATCTCAAAAGTGTTTCCACCTGAGGTCTGAGGCTCTACACTAGTGTATTGTAGTAAGGCCTTCATAAGGCATTCTAGGAATTGAGAAGGATTTTCATTTTTATCCCGAATGACCTCTTGAATTTTTTCATTATTTACTGCCTTAAGGGCAGCCTTGTGAAGACCAACCAGGAGGCAAGTTATAAATTGATTCCTATCTAGGATGCCCCCTGGAATATTGTAACTCCATTCAGGGTCCTAGTTGGGGACTGTCTCAGCCCTGACCTAGTGGGCAGCATGTCACTAAGAAGGGAGATAAACCAGAAAGGCTGAAGAAGGGAAGGGACTGTAGGTTGGGATTTGTTAATGTGATCAAACACTGTCCAAGGATAATCTGGTTTGGGCCTCACAGCTAGGTGGAGCTGTTTTTCCCATAGTTGGCTTATGCTGTGTGGTCACTTTTAATCAAGATGAGAATGAGGTCATATGGCAAAGTCCATGCTTTCCAACCCTAGTGAAGATGGCTGCCTACATCCCGATGGAGGGACAGCGGCTACGATTGCAGCAAGCCACGTGTTTCTTTTAAGATACCTATGTATAGATTTTAAACTACCAATCCTGGTGTTATGTGTTTTTAAGTTAAGCATTTTGTTAGGAGATTTTGTAGGGTTTTACTCATACCCAATACGTTTACAAATCTTAAGGTAAGATTTAGACCTTAACAAAAGTTTTAGAGAGTTAAACCAAAACCTAAAAGAGTAGAGATAAGTAGCACTAGCCCCCATTGAGAGTGATCTGCTCCTTTACTTTCTCTTGCTTTCCTTCTTCTGTCACATAGTCAGGTGGGTCACCTGATATGGGACAGAGATTTTTGGAGGAAACCTTTAAACATGCATGCTTGGGTTTAGAGGAGGGAAGCCATCCCCCAACTCCAGAGCCAGCTTTTAATTGAAGTGGGACAGCATAAAACAACATACTCATACCTAAAAGACACCTGAATCCCCGTAAAACTGAATCCAGTAAGCTGAGAATAAAGAAGGCTTAGAGACAGGACATATTTGAGGTCTGACTATAGAGAGAGGACACTGCAAGAAGGAGCTGAGAGATGCACCAGCTAGCACAAATGTGGCAGCTGGCCTACCCCTTTGCTCTCTCCTCCTCCTGCTAGGCTGGGCTTCTGGTTCCCATTTCGCAGCAAACTTATAGAGCCATCAATGGTAACTTAGAAGATAGGATATTTACATCAAGTAGGGGTGAGGGAGAGACCAAACAAAAACAAACCACACTTGGAGCAAAGAGCATTAGGGAATAGGGAATCTCTTATTCCCTGGATCACTCATAATATTTGTAAAGGTCCAAAATAATATTAGGATCAAGCATGCCATTAGGCAGCCTTTGGGATTGATTATCTATGGGATGTTGAGGGCAAATTTTATTGGAAAGGTAAATAAATTTAGGCCCCTTTGGCTTGGATTTCAGGGTTAGAGGCTGGAGATTTTCTAAGAGGCATCCCAAGGGGGAAATTAGAGGGTACAGAAGACACTGTTCTCATGGATAAGAGAGAGGGAGAAAACTGTCACTGCAGCTTGTGGTTGTGGGTGTCCCCAGGACTCATGGAGGAGCAATTCATTCAGTGGGTTGTCACCACATTCAATGTGGGACAGGGGCTTAGCCTGGCTAAGCTAAAGGAGAGACTCTGGTACCAGGACTTTTGCAGAAGCCAGAAGGCAAGGATGAAGACCCAGCTTTAGAAGTAGGTTCTCCTTCATAGGAAGGGGTTGAGAAACAGATTTGCAGAGACATCAGGAGCTGTGGGATTTATTGGCAGCTCCAAGGAATAGCCCAGTAGGGAGAAGGAAACTGCAGGGTTGCAGCTCCAAGGGTGATGGGCTAGGGTCAGGTGAAGAGGGCTAGCCATCACCTTAAAGACTGTGGCTGGGGTTACCTCCATCTCCAAGAGTACAAGAAGGGTGGCATTCAATGGTCACTTCCAGTCACTTCCTTGGACTCAAGAGAAACATTTACACTGACCAAAGAGGAAACTTTCATATTTGCCGCTGGTGGACGGGTGCTGAGTGACGGGTGAGCCAGGAAGTGAGTCTGTTGTGGGTGGACTGTAGACGAAGGATAGGGTCCCAATGTGCCTCAGACCACGAGGGGGCACACAAGCACTAGGAAAAGCTTAATGTCAGATTTCCCCACCAAAATATAAGTGTTGACGTTCTGAAGGGAAAGGCTTCTTCCCCTACAGAAGTGTTGCGACAAAAAGTATTATCAGCTCTGCTGGGCTGGGAAAGGGCTTCCCCAGCAAGAGTTTTAACAGTTCTGTTCCACTCTGGGGGAAGCTCCTGGAAGTCCCACCTCACAGCAGATCTCATGTAGGAAATTTTACCAAGAAGGAAGAATCCAGGAATGACTGACTACCTCCGCTCAGGAAGAAGTCGCTGCAAATTGAAAAGTAGGCAGGGTTTATATAGGATTTCTTAAGGGGCGGAACTTTTCAGGGCAGAGATTTCCAGAGTGAGGATTGGAGGGGAGAATTGCTTGAGTTTGGTTTGTTGCTATGTCTTGTAATGCTAAGTGCAGGCTCCCAAGTCCTGGTTTTTCCTGAGAGTCTGCACAGAGTCCCAAGTGACTAATGTGACCTTGCCCCCAAGTTATTTGTGATTGGTGAATAAAGATGCCCACAACCTATAGCTGGGCAGACTTGAGATAGGTGGAGCTTGGGGTCTGAGGAGATCATGAAGAGGGAGAGAAGAATGTGGAGAGAGAAGAAAGATGCCATGGGTTAGGATTCAGGAAAGCATAGCCATGAGGATTGGCCAACTGAAGTTAAGAGCAGCCCAGATGAAACATAGTAAGTAATAACTCGGGCTTATCAATAGGAAATTGATTTTAATAACAGAGAGGATAGATATCTGCCTAGCTCTTGTGCTGATTAAAGCTTATCATAAATATAAAGGTGAGATATAAATCCCATGTTGGGATTAAAAATATTCAACAATAGGCTTATATAGGATTTCTTAGGGGGAACAGCTTTTCAGGGCAGAGATTTCCAGAGTGAGGATTGGTGGGATTCAAGTCCTGACCTTGAGGAGCTCAGGGATTGGTGGTTTTTTTTTTCACCTCCTTTTCCCTGCACTGGGCCAGTGGGTCAGAGTGGCTGAGACATCATCACTGTGGAGCTTCTCTGGGAGGCTGGAGAGGAGGTGAAGTCACTGTGGCAACTCATGTAGAGTTGTCTCAGGAAGGCCGAAGGTTGAAGCAGGAAGGAGAAGCTGCAGCTTTGACATGACAGCTCCTGAAGCAGTACCTCACAGCTGTCTCTGGGTCACCTCTCAGGGATTATACCAGTTCATGGTAGAGATAGTTAAACATTTATAAAAATGAATAAGAAACAGAATCCATAAAAGGCTTTTATTGAGCTGTGAGCTGCTCTCTAAATACTAGACATCACAGTGACAAATGTTGATGATTACTGGATAGTCTAATGCTAAATCTGTAAGAATATGTCTTCTTTCCAGGTGCTATACAACATGTAGCTCCAAACTGACCATGGAACAGATGTCTTCCGATGAATGGAAATTAACTATAAAAATGAACCAGAAACTAATAGTGTAAGATGGGAAAGCACAGACAGATAATGACTTTAAAACTTGTTAAACACGATTATCCATGTTTATCCCCATGAAATACACCTCAAATGAAAGAAAAGCTTGAACAGGGAGCTTGCCTGTCCCCAGAGAAATGTTCCTGGCCTTAGTTCAAGAAAGGATTAAACTCTGACAAAGTGATAAAATCAACTATACCAATCTGAGAAATTCACTGTTACCTTGAGGAGTAACATGTGATACAGTCATCCAAGAAACTATTTTATTATCAAATAACGACCAAGTACTTGGGAAATTATGAAGGATGCTATCATAATTCAAAGTAGACACAACAGTGATTCTCTAGGGGAGGTCTTAACAGTGCTTTGCCCCATAGGACAAAGATAGTCTCCGAGGAAAGACATCTTGCACCACACCAACGGTCAGACTAACGGCTTCTGTCCTGTAATCGGCCTCAGAATACTTTCCAGACGCTGTCTCCCAGACAAAATGTAGTAATTTCCTAATAATGATTGGGGAAAATTGAACCAAACACTGGCCTTGGGCCCCAGGAGATAGCAAACTTGCTAGACTTCTAAAAAATCAATTAGCGGCCAGAGGGCTGTAGAAGGGCTGGTTCAACGATCCCACAGGGCCTAGGCCCTGGACCATTGAAGACTACAGCTCCAGTGCTGTGTTATTCAACTTTTCATAGTGCTTGGATGCATCACTTTGAACGTATCGCCGCCAGGCGGCCGTCAAATCCAGAACTACACTTCCCAGAGGGCTTTGCTCCCTGGCGGTTGCAGTTGAATCGGGGTGTGTCTAGGAATCAGAAGCCATAGTCCTGCAGTCCTCTTTGGAGCATCAACTTCCACTGCGCTTCGGTGGTGCTGAGATGTTTTGGTTCCTACTACTGCTCTCTCTTCCCTTCATCCTGTACTTGGTCACGCCAAAAATCAGGTCTGTGCGAATGTTGCCTTTTCTTGCCAGGTCTTTTAGAGAGGACAAAAATCCCCACTGAAGCTCTTTACCCCTCCAACCCCGTAAAGAAAGACTAGGAAATGACTGAGGAGTCCTTTAAGATAGCTAAGATCTGGAGTTTACCGGACTGCGGGCGAGATCCTGGTGCTCTAGACGTGGGCAAAGCCAGATACCAGACCCTAGGTGGTCGTAAAAGCTCTCCGGGTCTCCATCATCCCGTTTTGCTCTTTCTGGCCTACCTTATTTCCTCTAGCACCATCTGCTTTCTGGCTCCGGGAAGCCGGTGAGCGTGGCGGGCTTCAGATTCTAACAGTGTTTTCTCCACTCCCACGCTTTGAGCCTTTGTCTAGCTATTTGTCGCCAGCTCCTGAGGTACTCACAGGGGATTGTACTCTTTGCTCTCTGAACTCGATGCTAGTGTTATCTGGGGCATGCTCTCTTATTGCCGTTATTCATTCCCCCGTGCAGGTGTTTGAGACAATTGAAGGGAAGATTCTTTTTTCTTCAGAGTAGGGGTGTGTGCTTGTTTGCCTGAATTAGACTACTAGGGACCAGGAGAGGTAGCACGTGGTCAAATAAGGCGGAATGGTCTCTTGATTAGGTATCAGGTCAGCCCAAACCTGTCTGTATAATCACTTGAGAATCAGCCGCAGGCTACAACAAGGGGCAGTTCGCTGATTGGTTCTGAGTAAATCACCAGGAGTGACGGTGGACCAGTAGTAATAAACGCCTCCTTCTTTCTGGGCGCGTGGCCATAGTTCTATTGGAGCTGAAGTTGTGCCATCCTTCTGTCATTTCTTACCATGACCAACGTCCCCCCGCCCCCCAAGACCGGCTTCCCACTCTTTCTACTTTTCCTTCTCTCTGCTGACCTACTTCCATTTGTATTTTAACTTCTCTCTGAATACTTACTGCTCTCACATGTAGGCACACATGGCCCTTGTACTCAGGTGAAAACATGGGTTTCTTTCTACCACAAGATCTTCATGTCCGTATAGAATCTGAACAAAAACTTGAACCGGAGCTAGCTTGTGGGAGTGGGCCCAGAGCTGCGCTTTCAAAGTTGATTGTCTTGTGTTTGCTGATTACAGAGGAAGGGCCAATTACTGGCCCCCAGGACTTGTCAGTGCTGAAGTTCAGTCTGAAGGGCGGTCAGAGACAGAGGCCTTGATCCCTGAGTAGAGAGAGGTTCCTTTGGGCACTACAAGTTAGTTTGCCTTAAGTAGTGGCTGCTTGCAGCTAATAAGTTCAGTAGAATAGGTTGAAATGCTCCTTAAAAACACACCTCTTAGTCAACGGATCCTTTTAGTCCTAAAATTGAGGGGAAGAGAAGAGGAAAGTCTGAGGGTTGTGTTTGTGCTTCCTCCATTTGGAAAGGCTTGCAGAGCGTACAGCACAGGAGCAAGGTCTCCAGTTAGACAAACAAGACACAGATGCTCATTCTTTCTCCTCTAACTCGTTGTTGTTGTTATTCTGATATTAGTGTGTGATGGTAGTAGTCAAACCCAGGGCTTGGCACTGGGGTAAACTACCTGTTTTCCCCGTTACATTCCTAACCCTTGTCTCATTCTTAAATGTATTTTTTAAAAAATGTGTGAATGTGGTAACATTTTCTTACTTTTGACCTAGATCCATAAGCTTATGATGTCTATTCTTTCAATTGGATTAGCCATTCTTAAGAGTATAAAATCCTGTTTGACACAGATTGGCATATAAAGACCACTTTTCTTCTGTTTGGTTGAGTCTTATGATTTCTTAAGCCAAAAATGCCTGATTGGAAACTCTAAACTGAAGTCAGGTGCCTGGCCAATCACTCGCTCAGTTAGGTCTTGTGCTTTGGGGAGCAGATATAACTTTCAGGTTTTTTGAGACAGCATCTCTCTATATCACCCTGGCTGTCCTGGAACTCAGAAATCTGCCTGCCACTGCTTCCTAAGTGCTAGGGTTAAAGGCATGGGCCACCATACCCAGCCAAATCTAACTTTTATCTTTAAAATGCTATCACTTTTTGTTCTTAAACAAGAACATAACATTTTTGTTTTCCATTTTGAGACAGTTGCTATGTACCCAGGCTGGCCTTGAACTCATCTATCTCTGGAGTGGTGGTATATACCTAAGAACAGAAAGCTATCTCCTTTATTTCTTACTTTTTAACATTTATTTACTGTATGTTATTATCTGTTGGGGTGGGTACACATGTGTGTACCATGGCGTACATGTGGAAGTCAGAGGACAACTTTGAGGAGTCAATCCTCACTTTCCATCACATAGGTCCTGGAGACTGTACTGATGTCAGCAGGCTTAGAGGCAAGCATGCCTAACTGCTAAGACATCTTGCTGGCCTTGCTGTTTTTTAACTTAGGCTTATAAAAGAATAACATTGGAAGAAATAAAAGCAAACTCAGCCCTGGAATTGGAAGGCAGATGGAGTTTCAGGAGGAATGGATAATGAAGGACTGATATGTTTTCCTGTGTCTCTAGGAAAATGCTATCCAGTGGGGTGTGCACATCTAATGTCCAGCTTTCCGGGAAGGTAGCCATAGTCACCGGTGCTAATACAGGCATTGGGAAGGAGACAGCTAAAGACCTGGCCCAAAGAGGCAAGTGCATATGCTTCCAACTCTATGCTGATGTTTTACCCCTCACAGCGATGGCCATGTTTCTTCCCAGACTTGGAATGTAAGAATACTTCAAGTACCTTATTAATTTCCTGTTATAGTCTGAATCTAGCATGATGCTCTATGTCTAATGGCACTTAAGAAAAAAAACTTCAAAAAAATAGCAAGTATAATTTTTATTTTTATTTGCTAGTTTGCTTCAGATACCATGGTCATGAAGTAAGGGATAAAAAAATCTTATTTTGTAAAATGTCAGGAGCACTCAGCATCTGCATTCAGTTTTTTAAACCACTTGAAACCAGAGCTGACTGTTTTCCCTTCATTTGGTTTACAGGAGCCCGTGTGTATTTAGCTTGCCGGGATGTGCAAAAGGGGGAACTGGTGGCCAGTGAGATCCAAGGCATCACAGGGAACAGTCAGGTCCTGGTACGGAAACTGGACCTAGCTGATACCAAGTCTATTCGAGCCTTTGCCAAAGACTTCTTAGCTGGTAAGTGATGAGAGACTCTATTATGGTCACTAGGATATGATTTATGTCAAAGGGACATCTTCAGGAAGCAGAAATGAAAAGAGAGCCTGTTTTCGTTCCTTTACTATTGCCATGGTGAGACACTGTGACCAAAGCAACTTTTAAAAGAAAGTGTTTAATTTGGGGTTCCCAGTTCCAGAAGGCCAGAGTTGATGACTGTCATAGTGACTGAGGAGCATGGCAGCAGGTAGACAGGCATGGCTGTCGAGCAGTACCTGAGACATCCTATCTGGATCTGCAACCACAAGGCAGAAGTAGCTAATTGGGAATGGTGTGGGCTTTTGCAATCTCAAAGCCCACCCCGAGTAACATACCTTCTTCAGTAAGGCCACACTTCCTAATCCTTCCCGAAGAAGAGTTCCTCCAGCCCCCAAGTTACAGCAGTGAGCAAGAGCTAAAGTCAAAGCTGTAGCAGGAACATCAGAACTCAATAGGCGCTTGGTAGGGTGTATCATAATCATCCATGCTAGGATAGGAAGAAGAGGAGGCCCTAGGCTCTTGAGAAGGTTGAGATTCATAAGAGAGCCATTTGGTCCACACAGTATGTGTACTAAGAAGAAGAACAAAGCCCTGGCCACCATGAACATAGTACAGCAGCTTACCAGCTCTGGGTCTATTGCTTACTTTTCCTTTGCTGTGATAATACAGTTCCGGAAGAGTAGAGTCCATGATGGCAGACCAAGGCTTGGCAGCAGGAGAAGCTGAGAGCTCACATCTACAACAGCAAGCAAGATACTGGGAATGGCATAAGTCCTTTGAAACCTCAAAACCTGTCCCCAGAATCATGCCTCCTCCAGCAGGGTTACACTATCTAATTCTCTCCAAACAGCTACCAACTGGGAACCAAGTATTCAAACATCCAAGATTCGCAGGGGACATCTCATTTAAGGCACACACTTAGGATCTAGGTAGAGAAAGAAAGGGTGGTTATGTGCAAGAATTAGATCCCAGGCTGATATCATGAAATCATTCTACTAAGTGATGTAGGATCGTAATTTCAAAACCTGTGGGGCCAGCAAGATGGCTCAGCAGGTAAAGGCGCTTGCTGCCAAGCAACCAGAGTTCAATCTTTAGGACCCACATGGTGGAAGGAGAGAACTAACTCATACAAGTTGTCCTTTCATCTGCACATACTCCATGCCATGTATTTTGTCTGTCTTTCTCTCTCAAATAAGTAGATGCAATAACATTTTTATAGAAAGCTGTGGTATCTCACCATAAGTAGGTTTGCCTCACTCCCATCACCTAGGGATCTGGACTTCTTCCTTAAGAGTTTACAGTCATAAATTATAAATCACGCAAGGAAATGAACTAAGAGAGAGAGGTGGCAAGTTTCTTTGAGGGCCTGAGTCCCACAAGTATGGGTGTTCACGAGCACCCCAGCCCCACCTCTCCTCCCCTGCTAGCTTCTAAGTCTTTCCATTTAGCTTGGAAAGTCTTTCTCTTGGGAGAGGTAGATGGAACACTTCCCCAAAACAGTGAGTAAGGAGCTTTTGGAGAGCCTGGATGTGATAGGCTGTGATGTAAAACGGAATTTTGCCCTGTAAAAGTGTGTGGATTAGCCCTAGACTTACAATAAAAAAAACAATAGAAAGTCACTGGAGGGAATAAAGGCAAAGAATGCAGTCTAACCCCGCAGCTTTCATCCCCCTTTGGAGGCCTGGGCCTGGGTTGTGAGGAGGGCATCTGAGATATGAACGCTATAGCTGTTTTCTCTTCCTGCAGAGGAAAAGCATCTGCACATTCTAATCAACAATGCGGGCGTGATGATGTGCCCCTACTTGAAGACCGCAGACGGCTTTGAGATGCACATTGGAGTCAACCACCTGGGTGAGAGTCTTGTCTCCAGTCCAAAGCCGTGGGGAACCAAAAACTCAGAAAATTCAGGACTCAGGTGGAGCCTTCTCTGTGGCATCATTGGGGCTCGGGGCTATAATCAACCATACTGCATAAGAAATAGTTGAGAACTGCCTGAGGGCTAATCTGAGACTTGCTTCAAGTTCTGCCTACACCCACACCCACACACACCCCCCCACACACATACACACACTCGCACGTATACTTATACATGTATATATGTATGTATGTATAAAGATATATTTTATTTACATGTGTGTCTGTATGCTACATGTATGTATGTGTCTGCAGAAGCTGGAAGAAAGCATTAGATCTTCTGGAACTAGAGTTATGGGTAGTTGTGGGCTTCCACATATGGTTACTGAAAACAAACTTAGGTCCTCTGGAAGAACAGCAAGCATTCTTAAACTGCTGAGCCGTTTCTCCAACTTTTCTCCCTAGGTTTTAAACCTGTAATTGAGATTTGGCTTGTGTTGGGGGTCTATTTGAACAGCTTGGTTACACAGGGCTGTATTGCTCTTCTTAACGCTCGATCTCGTAGCGACAGGTAGAGGCCATGTGTTCTCCATGCTCCTCTGTGGGTCAAGGTCTTTCTTAGACTACTTCCAACTCGTGATCTTCTTGCTTCAGCCTCCTGAGTGCTAAGATTACATGCGTGTGCCAGTGTTTGCCCTTAAACAATGATGGTAACCTCTGTTGAATTAAAACGGGATTCCTATCCTTAGCACAAACATGTCTCATATAAAGACATCTCATATCTTTGGCTGCTTCTAGTTCCTAAAATCCCTTCTGAACCTGTTCTCTAACTCATAGTGAGAAGTTGCTGTGGTGGGCCTTGTTCCCGAGTACCACCTAACCTATACCAGCTGCTGTGGTGGTTCCCTCTCTCCCTCCTTGTCTCCCTCTCTCCCTCTCTCTCTCCCTCCTTCCCTCCCTCTCTTTCTCCCTTCCCATCCCTCCTTTCCTCCCTCTCTCCCTTCCTCCCTCCTTCTCTCTCTCTCTCTCTCTCTCTTCTTTCTCTCTCCCTCTCCCTTCCTCCCTCCTTCCTTCCCTTCTTTCCCTTCCTCCTAGAGCTGATCTCAGCTTATCACAATGCTTCTTATCCTCACATGGGTGCTGAACAACCCTGATAATCCTACTTTCTTTCAACAGGTCACTTCCTCTTGACCCATTTGCTGCTAGAAAAGCTGAAGGAATCAGCCCCATCAAGGATAGTCAATGTGTCTTCTTTGGCACACCATCTGGGTAGGATCCACTTCCATAACCTGCAGGGTGAGAAGTTCTACAGTGCAGGTCTCGCATACTGCCACAGCAAACTAGCCAACATTCTCTTCACTAAGGAGCTGGCCAGGAGGCTGAAAGGTGAGTGCGAGTGAGCAGTGTGCGAGACAGGAGGAATAGCGAAAAGCCACAGGATGGGAAGGGAAGTGTTTTCCCAAGCCTGTCACCTGGATAGGACCTGCTTCCATGAGTATAACTGGTATGCTTTTAGTAAGTAGCCCCCACTGAATATTGGAGGTGGCTGACTAGGGATAGGAGAATTCTGACTTTGAGTCAGAAGACTTGGCCTCACTGCTTACTGCAGCAAGTTACTGAGATTTCCAAGATTTAGTCCCTCCTGAGTTGGGTGAGAACTGCTTCTCAGCTTGTGGCCATAATCCATTCAGTCCTCACAAGCAAGTCAAGTGACAAGCGAAGTGGTACTTAATAACAGACATTAGTATGAAACGTACTGGCATTAGTGGACAGGGGGAGGGGGCATCTCTCGAACAGCAAAAGGTCAAGCAAGGGGCTGCAGAGATGACTTAGCAAGTCAGAGCATTCGCTGCTCTTAAAAAGGACTCAGGTTCAATTCTCAGTATCCACATGGTGACTCATCCATCCGCAACTATAGTTCCAGGAGATCCTATACCTTCTTCTGACCTCCTTGGGTATCAGACCCACAGATAGTATACATGCATGCATGCAGGCAACATAGTCATAACTATAAAGTATATATTTTTTTTAAAGAAAAGATCAAATTCAAGGGAAAAATATACTTGAGAAAGGGAATCTCTAGTCATGAATAAAGAGTTAGCATTGCCTGCTGTGGATTTCTAATAAAGAGAAAGGGAATCTAGCGTAGACGATGCTTAGGAGTTGAGCCAGACAGAACTGAGGCTCAGGGAGTCAGGAGCTAGAGCCCCACTGTTGAAACAGGGTGATCAAACCACAGGGACAGCTGCAAAGTTACAAGATGATAAGAAGATAGCCAGTGGTCACCTCAGACCCAGTGTCCAGTCTGTGCTAGGGCAAGGTATCCCTTGCCAGTTCAGGATGGTTAAGGAGAAAATGTAAGAACTACCAAAGGGCTGGTGAAGAAGCTAAGATGATGCGGAGGTAGAAAGATGCATCTGTTGTGAGAGAAGGGAAAAGCAGTGGGGGAGCCCTGGCAGCTGAGTTCATTCAGTGGAAAATAGTGGTGTGTATAATACAGGAGCCCTGGTGTGCAGGAAGATTGTCCATCCCACAGATGTGCATCTCGTGTCCTGCTTAGGGTCTGGGGATGAAGTATAGGACAAGGCAGGTTCAGGCACTTCCTTGATTTGCTTTACAGCTCTGGGGGAGAGAGAGGTTAGTAAGTGTTAGTACAACCAGCATATGAAGTCATTCTAGTTGTATGTGAGTCACATTTACTTTATGACATTCAAATAGTTTAGAAGTACACAGAACTAAGGACAGACAGCCTCTATTAACCCCCCATCCTTCAAATTACACTGTCAGTAGCTGCCAGTCACCTTCCTATGCATTTGCTTCTGTGTATTCGTCATAGATGGATCTACAATTCTTATAAGATCTCTGTGGTCTTCCCATGTAATGTGTACAAATTTACTACTATTCAAAGGAACAGTTGCCTATAACTCCAGCTCCAGGGGATCTTCTAGCCTCTGCATGCACCCCACACATGACATACACACAGAGACACACATACACACATACATAAAATAGAAATAAGTCTTTTAAAAAAAATGTCAGCCAGGTAGTGGCAATACACACATTAATCCCAGCACTTGGGAAGCAGAGGCAATTGGATCTCTGTGAGTTCCAGGCCAACCTGGTTTATAGAGCCAGTTCCAGGACAACCAAGGCTACAGAAAAATCCTATCTTAAAAATAATACAAGGGCTGGTGAGATGGCTCAGTGGTTGAGAGCACTGACTACTCTTCCGAAGGTCATGAGTTCGGATCCCAGCAACCACATGGTGGCTCACAACCACCCATAATGAGATCTGATGCCCTCTTAGGGTATCTGAAGACAGCTACAGTGCACTTACATATAATAAATAAGTAAAAAACAAACAAACAAACAAACAAACAAACAAAAAGTTGTATGGTGGGAGTTTAATGAGCCATGAAAATTCTGAGGTTTGGTATTTGGGTAGAAAGTGATGACTGAGGAACATCCAGAAATGAGTCCCAGCACTTAGAGATGAAAGAACATTGGAAGAGGCATGGGGTCATGGAGGCCAGGGGAAAAGAAGCCTGAGAGGAAGTTAAAGAGTTAAAGAGCTGCTGAGAGACTGGCCTTGGCTCTCCTACCCTAGTCCATCAACAAGCCCGTCTCTTAGGAGCCCGTCTCCTCAATCTGTGCAGCGTGTATAGATCACAGTGAGTAGGTGTGTGTGATCTCACCAGGAGTGCAGAGGTCGCCTGTGGGGGTCAGAAGTGTCTACACATGCTTTCCTCTCTTTTTTCTCTCTAGTTGGTAAAATCAAATCTTGTCTTTCTTCTTGACATGTTCCCTGCCTGCCCCAGGCTCTAAAGTGACAACATATTCTGTCCACCCTGGCACAGTCCATTCTGAATTGATTCGACACTCATCGTTTATGAGATGGATGTGGCAGCTCTTCTTCTTTTTTATCAAGACCCCTCAACAGGGAGCTCAGACGAGCCTGTACTGCGCCGTAACAGAAGGTCTCGAGAGCCTCAGTGGCAGTCATTTCAGGTATGAATGTATCTGTCTTTGAAATGAGTTCTTACTGCTTGGGGCTTGTCTGGTATAGTATATGCTTTTTTATAAAATACGTATTTCCCAGAGTTGGAGAGATGGCTGGGTTAGTACAGGCTGCTCTCCCGAGGACCTGGGTTCCATTCTCAGCACTCAGTTACAATTGTCTGTAACTCTAATTCTAGGGAATCTGACATTCCCTTCTGGCTACCATGGGTACCAGGCATGTACATGGTTCACAGACATACATGCAGATAAATACTCATACGTACACAGTAATAACAACAGATTAAAAATGTTAAGGTATATTTCCTCAAATAGCTTTTGTCTTTAAATAAAAGAATTTTGCCTGTTCATACTTTTTTTAGTACCTGCTAGCTTTGATTTTATTTTTTATACCATCTGTTACAGTAATAATTATGTTTTTTCTGCTTTTTTTCCCTCTCTCATGTCAATACTGTTTTCTTCCTGACTTCTTTTTTGTTTTTAAAGATTTATTTATTTTATGTATATGAGTACACTGTAACTGTCTTCAGACACCAGAAGAGGGCATCAGATCCCATTACAGATGGTTGTGAGCCACCTGTGGGTGCTGGGAATTGAACTCAAGACCTCTGGAAGAGTGGCCAGTGCTCTTAACCACTGAGCCATCTCTCCAGCCCCTCTATTTTGTTTTTAATCTGTATTTCCCTATTATCTTCATGATTGAAATAGAACCAATTGAATCCCTTGTATTTTATTTTATTATTTTCTCAGTACTAGGAATGGACCCTGGGGCCTCTTGCAATACTAAGGCAAGGGTTCTATTACTGGCACGTCCCCTGCCTAATTTTTGTTTTTTGGGTGAGTTGTATACATTTCTGTATATGTGAAGGTTTGCATGCGTGTCTGTACATGGGGAAGCCAGCAGATAACCTCAGGAACTATCCACCTTTTGAAAGGGGTGCGACACAGAGAATGACAAGATTTCTCTTTGGCTTGAGATGTGCCAAGAAAGCTAGACTACCTGGCCAGTGAGCCCCAGGAACCCATCTGTCTCAGTCTCCCTGCTCTGGGATTACAAGCTTGTGCCACCACATCTGGCTTCTTTTTTTAAAACATAGGTCCTCATGCTTACAAGGCATTCACTTTACCTACTAAGCTAATCTGTTAATATCTGTTTACTCTTTCTGCATAGCCAAAACTGATCCCAAACTCAACAATCTGCCTGCCTCTGCGCCAACTTTTACTGTAGAATAAATAGCATATTGACCCCATATTCACTCACTATCTGACTTCAGCTGCCAATAACTCATGGCCAAACCTGCCCCATTCCCATCCTCAAGCCCGTCTCCATAGTTTTATAAAGAAAATAATATGTCACATAAGTTCAAACTTATAACATGTCTTCCCTCCACCTTCAAGATATTCTTGATATTTTATAGAAGCAACCGTGGGTAGCATTAGATTGGAAAGATGAATAAACAGATGACAAAGGGTTAATAATGCCAGACTGATGGGGGAGCCATAGAAGTCACTGCAGCAGAGAGACAGAATCTGATCTCTGCTTTTGGGGAAACAAAGAAGAAAAAACTTTTTTTTTAAAATTTTATTTAAATGATTGAATAAGTAACCCACTAAGATACAGAGTTCCTGGTTTCAAGCAATGACAGCTGGAATGAAAAGGCAGCTTCCGTGAGAGAGGCCTGCCTGACTTCTCAGTAGATGCCTAGTTAGTTGAGTGTGGGGCTGAAAGGATTTGGTAACCCAGTTTCACATCTGTGAACCAGGAGGTTGATGAGAATGGGAAAGGAGACGCAGAATGGGGAAAGAACACATGCGACTTAAGGACCTTGAACTCCAAAGCAGTGGGCATGAAGTCTGGCTCATAGGCCAGAAGGAAGTGTACTCCCAGTGTTAGCACAGACTAAGAAAGTCAGTGGCCAATCAGCTGTCTGATGTACCTCAATGGGAACTGTTTGGGGAGTGTGGGGACACCAACTGTCTTGAATCTTAGTCCCATTGTTTCCCATCCACTTTTCAAAGACAACAAGTTGATTGGGAGGGTAAGTTTGCTATTGCCAAAAAAATAAAAATTAAATGGATATTCCATTGAAGTGACAGTTGTCTCCCTGAGACTATATGTGTCTAGTATATGATATCGGCATACATACAAGTAGAATTGTATGGCAGATAGTTGGAAATAAGGCTCTGACCCTCAAGAACTACATAAAGTATAAAAGCACTGTACACTAGATACTTAACTCTATGCGTTGGAATGCTTGTATTGTATTTTATCTTTTTGAGTCAAGGCCTTCACCATCCTAGAACTTGCTCTGTAGACCAGGCTGACCTCAAACAGAGATCCACCTGCTTCTGCCTCTCAGGGCGCTGGGATGAAAGATGTGCACCACCACATTGGCCTCAGCTTTTCTTTACTTACTCTTTTTCTTTTCTTTCATTTTTTTTTTTCTTTTTTTTTCTTTTTTTTTTTTTTTTTTTTTTGGAGACAGGGTCTCATGCTGGTTTCAAGCTCAGTCTCTAGCCGAGGCTAGCCTCGAACTCCTAATCTTCCTGTCTCTAATTCTCAAATGCTCAGATGTATGACTCTTTTTTTTTTTTTTTTGGTTTTTCGAGACATGGTTTCTCTGTGTAGCCCTGGCTGTCCTGGAACTCACTCTGTAGACCAGGCTGGCCTCGAACTCAGAAATCCACCTGCCTCTGCCTCCCAAGTGCTGGGATTAAGGGCATGCACCACCACTGCCCGGCAGATGTGTGACTCTTAAGGAACTTTTCTCATGCTGTGAATATTGATTTTTACTTCAGTTTGAAGGCCTAGCAGCAATCATGTAAATCAGTATCTAGAGATGAGTGTCGAAGCCTGTTCTGATAGAGGCCTTGACTATTTTAGTGTCTGTTTCCTCTGCCTGCTCCTACTAATCTACTTTCTGTCTCTAAGGATTTGCCTAGTCTCGATGTTCATATAAGTGGAATCCTAACTAGAACCTCTTGTGGTTTTTTTCACATACCTTAATGTTTTCAAGTTTCATCCATGTGAAAGCATATTCTACTAATTAATTACAAACAATATTTCATTGTATGTTTATATCATTATATACCATGTATAAAATGAACATACTATTCTGCTTTCTGGCTATTTAAATACTACTGTTATGAACATTCATATAATTTTTATTTTATTATTGTTTTGCTTACTTTCATTTTGGTTTTTGAAACAAGGCTGGCCTGGAACTTGTGGCAGTTACCCTATCTCAGCTCCCCACTGCTGGGATTATAGGGTGAACTCCAGTGTTCAGCTGTGGCTTTTGTTTTGTTTTGTGTTTGTTTTTGAAATAAGTTTTCACTCTGTATCTCAGCTGCCCTTGAGTTTATGAAGTAACCTAGGCGGGCCTTGAACTTATGGTCCTCCCGCTTCTGCCTCTTGAATACTTGGATTAATGACATACACCATCACACTTGACCCACACAGGAATTTTTGTATGGACATTCCTTAATAATCTATAGAGGAATTTCTGAGCCATGGGTCTGCTTTGTGTTTAACTGTAGAGGAACTGTTAGGTTTTTCCAAGTGGCTGTACCATTTTGCATTCCCACTGGCAGTATATGAAGGCTTAGGTTTCTCCACAGTCATGAACAATATCTTTCCCTCCTTCTAGTCTTAGCCATCCTGGTATATATGAAAGAGCAGCTTGTCCTTTTCTCTTTCCTGCTAATGTTGAGCGTTTTTATGTGCTTTGTTCATTTGTGCATCTTTATTAGAGAATTGTCTTTTCAACTCTTCTACCAATTTTAAAATCAGGTTTTGTCTTTTTTATTGTTCAGTGTTGTTATAGTCTAGATACAATTCCAGATATATGATTTACAAATATATTTTCATATTCTGTGAATTATCATTTCACCTTTTTTGATGGTATCCTTTAACGCTCAAACACGTTTATGGCATGCATGCATGTGCATGAGTGCATGTGCGTGTGTGTGCACACCCGTGTGTGTGTGTTCTACCATTGAGCTCGATCCTAACCCAAGTGTCTAGTTTTAATGTTGATGAAGTCCAATTTACCATTTTTGTTTGTCAGTTGGACTTTTGGTGTCGTATCCAGAGATCCATTGCCTTACTTCAGGTCACAAGGACATACTACGGTACTATCTTTCCTTCTAACCATTTTAAAGCTTTATCATTACAGTGAGGGCTAAGGTTCATTCAAGTTAGTTTTTTAATGTGATACACTAGAAAGGCCCGTGTTAGTTACTTTCCTCCTTGCTGAGACTAATTAGCTGACAAGAGAGAGGAGTGGCAAGGTCCTAGAGAACAACCCAAATGCCTCATTCACCTGTGGCTGGCCATGTTAGTTAAGATAATTTCTGATTCTCTTTCTGTTTATGCTGGGGAGAAGGTCTTGCTCAGTAAAGCTTTTGAACCTCCTGTAACTATAGGAATGGAGACAAAGTTGCTTACACATGGTATTGTGGGGAGGTCAGCAGTCCTCAGAGGAGGCCTTTCTTGTGGGAGGCTGCCCTGTGCACAGCCTGACCTTCTCTCTACTAGATACTGGTATACCTCCATCCACTGTGACAGCCACAACTGTAGTCAGACGTTACCAAGTTTCCTCAGGAGGAATGTCACCGTGGTTGAGAACCACTGCCCTGGAGGACAAAGCAGGGACAAAGGATAGGAAAATCCCAGTATGTATGAGTATGTACTAGAGGTGCGAGGGCCTCACTCAACTTGATAAACACTTTGGGTTTGTCCAGAGTTACTGTGCTCATGTTCCCACCGGCATTTCTTGCAAGATCATGGGGTGAAATGATTCTCATGAAGCTAGTACATCTAATATTTGGACCTAAGTTCACACTCTAGCATCCACAGAAAAGTCAAGTGCAGTGGTACACACCTGTAATCGCAGGACCAGGGAGGCAGGGACAGGAAGATCTTTGAGGCTTGCTGGCCAGCCAGTCTAGCTGAATTGGTGACCTCTGGTTCAGTGAGAGACCCCTGTCCTAAAAATAAGGTGGAGAGTAATTGAATAAGACATGTCACACCAACATCTGCCTTCCTTATACATGAATACACATATGCACATGTAGACACATGAACATGAGTGTATACATGACTGATGTATACACACACATGCATACACAAAATGTACTAGATACAGAGAGTATAAAATGAATAAAAGAATTGTCCTTGAAAGAATTTTCTTGGTGGTACAGAGTTTGGATGCCTGTCCTGCAGAGTTATGGCAATGTAGAGAAGGCATCTGAGAATACCTTTCTATGGCTTGAATGTGTCTCCAACACAACAGTGTTGAGAATGATAATCATCAAGCTCATGGAATATTATTGCCGTTATTACCAGTGGGCTTGGTATTGTAAAAGTGGTTTCCCCTCATTCTCACTTTTATGCTTTTTGTTCTTCCTCACCCTCTCTCGTGTGTCCCCATGTGCCAGGGCTTCAAGTGGGCCAGGCAGTCAGTACTCAACCACTGAGCTAGCTCCCCAACCTTCTTCACTCATGTAACAGTGCCTTCTGCAGCCAGTGTGAACATCAGGATCTTAGTCTCAGGACACTGTACAAGGCCTTGAAGGGTAAACCTTTGGCTTCATTTGAAGTAAACAGACCTGTACAGGTGTCTGGGAGGCACTGATATAGTTAAGCATATACATAGACCACATTATATAGCAGACAAACCATTCTGATCAGAGATAGTAGAGTGAGAAGATAGAAATGTTTTCTTGAGGGAAAGACTGGAGAATAATCTGGCTGTAGTGGCATGTGCTCATAATCCCAACATATGAGGGGAGTCAAGACAAAAGGATTATGATGTTGAAGCCAGACTGGGCCAATAGAACAAGTGTGCCAAGCCACCCTGGGCTACATAGAGAGATGCAAACAAATAAAAGGATCAACAAATGAAGAAATAGGATAGCATTGTCCTTGTAAAGTAAAGGTCCCTGGGGGACCTGTGAGCTCTAGATTGTTTTCCTACCATATTCTTTATATTAGGTAAATAGAAAAGTCCATTCTTAACCCTGTGTTTCAAGTCTCTCTGTTTCCCTTCCAGTGATTGCCAATTGGCATGGGTCTCTAGCCAAGCTCGCAATGAGACAGTAGCCAGGCGGCTGTGGGATGTCAGCTGTGACCTGCTGGGCCTCCCAATGGATTGGTAAGTGGTGGTTTGGACTCAAAAGAAGATTGGAGGAGATGATTATCCTTCAAAGTGGCCAAAATCTTGAATACGAAGAGTGTAGAACTTCAAGCCTTGCCTGCTTGGCATCCAGTTAAATCCCAGTACACTGCCAGGTTCCTCTAAGCCCTTGAGTTTCTACTGACTGATTTTGTTCCTGCTCCTGCCAGCATTTCTAGTGGTATCACTGACTAAGACAGAGGACCTTCGTGTGACCTACACAGCTCCTATTTTCCTTTGGAAGCTACTCCTACCTAGGAGCATGAAGTCCTGTGAAGACTGGTGCATGGCCATGTGGGTTAGATGGAGCCCCTCCCAACCAACCATCCTTTCCTGGAAGAACTCCATTGTAGCCTCAGCCAAACTTCAGGAGTCCAGTGACCTGGCGCAAGGACAGGTCTTTGTGGTCCTAACATCTGGATACTTAAGAAAAATTTTTACTAAGTCTGGCAGTCTGAAGCTTTTGCTACTGAAACACTTTTCTATGTCCAGACCACAGAAGAGCTTCCTTCTCTAAGAAGTTTATGGAATTTGAAGGGCAGAGATAAAAATAAAGCCAAACTCTCATCTTCCTGCTATTTCTCAGCCTAGTAAGGAGGTAATGAAAGGAATGTTATGATAGGTCACTGGGGTCAGCTACTGACCCCAGACCCACGGAGGCCTCTTTATTGTGCCTTAGGTTCTCTTAGGAAACTAGAAAGGGAAAGGCCTTCTCATTGTCATTGTGTTAATTTTGTGTGTCTTCTTGTGTGTTCATGCAGTTTGGTGTGTTTCCACCAAATTCACAGTAGCCACAAAGGAGAAATTCTTAACCAGACTGAATTGTAGACAAATTACCAGAGATGGAATAATTCACTGTGGAGTCTTTGAGTATAGTTGCAAAGTGAGGGAAACACTATCTGTGTTGTAATCAGTCACTGAGAAGCACAGATGCTGCAGGGAATAAGTTTAAAAGAAGAAAACTCCAAGGAGGTAACACATGATAATGAAGGGGTCAGCTAAGGATCTAAAACCATAACTGAAAGGCAGTAATAGCCAGCTATAGAAAGGCACACTATCTTAATCACCAGTCAGTGTAGAAAGAAAACGTCAAAAGCACAGAGTGAAACCAAGTCTCTATTTAGAAATGTTATCCTAAGGATTGGTAATTATAGTCAGTTGATAATCTTTCAGAGCATTTTCTTACATTAGCTTGACAAGATGTCCTTTTCAGGAGTGTGTGTGGAGAGATGGGATGGCTTAGATGACTGATGTTCCAGAGGACCCTGGTTCAATTACTAGGACCCACATGGTAACTCACAACCATCTATAACCTAAATTATAGAACGATCTAAAGGATCTAACAGCCTCATCTACCTCCACAGGCACTGCAGGAATGTGGTGCACAGATAACAATGCAGGCATTCATATACATACTTTTGTAAAAAAAAAAAATCAACCTTGACATTGGAGGGCGTGCTTTCCTGGAATGTGTGAGGCCCTGGGTTTGACCGTAGCACTGCAAAAGAAAGTGGAGATAGCTTCAATTTACTAAAATTTTGCTTTATTTGGCGAGCTTTTATCAAAAGCAATACAGACAAAGGGTGTCAGGCATCCCTCCTGTTCCGATCACTTGTTCGGTGGATGCTATTCTAAGGGAGTTTGCCATTTCCTTGGGCTGACAATTATATTCTAAGCTTGAATATGTAAGACTGACAGGACCACAATCTTTAACTTCTAATATTTGTAAATTAATAATTTTTATGGGCTTGTTCTGACCAATAAACATATTTTAAGATTAGTTTATAGGGACATTGGAAAACTTTTGACAATGCAGTGATTAATTGAATTTTACTTAATTTATATTCATTTGCCAATGAAAATAAAGATTCTTTTCAATTACCTTGTTTTTAGTTCCAGATTATAACTGTAAGAATTAAATGGAAGTCTGGTTGTAGTTTAAAGCGAACATTCACAGTTATATAGTTATTTCCCATTCTGTTGGCTGCTTGTGTTCAAGAATCATTACAGTACAACTGAAATGCTCGTGCCATTAATTTGGGCTGTGATCGTCAGACCAATCATCAAATCATTTCCTACTTACATGCCACCGACCAAATGTTACTGTTCCCACAACTCTTGGTCTTGGCAGGAGCTCCTTTTTGTATCTATTTCTGTGACAGAAATATAAGACTTGGGGTTGAAGAGACAGCACAAGTCCCAGGATCCCATGCAACTCGTACAGGGCGTGGCAGGCAGTTCACCTGTAACTCCTGCTCCAAAAGATCCAACACCCTCTTCTGGGCTCCACGGGCAGGCGCTTGCCCTCATACATGTACACACGCGTTCAAGTGTAAATCTTTGTATATTTTAGTTTTGAGGTAGGGTTTCTCTGTGTGGCCCTGGCTGTCCTGGAACATGCTCTGTAGACCAGGCTGGCCTCAAACTCAGTGATCAGTCTGCCTCTGCCTTCCAAGTACTAGGATTAAAACTGAACAACACCACTCTTGATCTATCTTTTAGTTTTATAAGAAAAAGAAATGCAAGACTTTGCACCACTGCTAACATCAGACTTTGTCATCTCTGTGCAAGGCATTTTATATTTATTTTCATTGGATTTAACGGTCAGTAGGTTCACGTTTGTAAAACCCAGGGCCTCAAAGACAAAAATCTCCAGGAACCCACTCTCATACACATCTTGGAAGATGGATTATAGGATTTGCTTATGCTAGATAAGTGTTGTACCCCTCAGCTATACCATCAGCCATATATATATATATATATCTTTCCATGTATAAATACTGAGCTTCCACGCAAACTTTTGAGAGTGGGCCCTTTGTGCAAACCGTGCCAACAGTATACATAGGAATTTATACCTATAAAAGGGCAGAAAGAACTTCATAATTGTTGAAATATTTCACGTAAGGGCAGATAAGACGTGATAAGACAGGTCTGCCTTCTACACCAAATCATACATTACCCAAGGGCAGAGACAAAATTATTTTGATCAATATATAACTTTGGCTTATCAAAATGTCTATTATTAACGTGAATGCGAACCCGGGCCAGCCTAATGGACTGGGCTGGCTCAGCCGCTAAAAGCTGTGTGTATTCTGTGAATCACATCATCCATAAAAATGGATGTTGGTCTGAAAACATGTGACCCAGGCCATTTAATCTCCCCAATTTTAGAGTTTTATCATCCGAGGGTAGGCAGGCCTCTACTCATCCATCTAGAGCTGCGTCTGAACATTTAGACGGCAGATGAACTGAAGTCAGGTGGCAGAATGATTTGGCGATGACAGCGAGGGGCGTGTGTTATCCTGTCGGCTGCACAACAAGGCTAGCACTCCAGGCCCTCCCTGCACAGCCACCCTCCCTCACTTAACTACAACCCCCAGAATGCACTGCTGGACCGGCGGGCCCAGATGAGGCGGCCGAGGCGCCCGTCCCACGAGCTCCCTTTGGTCCTTCGCTTTGGTACCTCCCCTGTGCCCACTGCCTGTCTCCAGGTAGGAGACAGCCGCTCGCCTTGGCGCGAGGCCGCGCCTCTGTAGTAGCCGAGTGTCGTTCCCGCCTCGGCTTTCTATCAGGCTTCGTCGCCCGGCGCCCGCGCAGTGACAGCACGGGAAGGGCGTCCGGCTCGGAGGACCCCGGAAGCGCCTGATTCCGGAGGCCGAGGTGAGGCTGCAGTGATGGCTTCGGGGCTGGGCAGCTGATTGCTGAGGTGGGAGTGGGCCCAGCGCCCGGAGTCTCAGTGACCGCAGCTCACGCGCAGCCTGCGCCATGGCCACCTCCGCCGCCTCCTCCGAGCATTTCGAGAAGCTGCACGAGATCTTCCGCGGCCTCCTTGAAGACCTACAAGGCGTGCCGGAGCGGCTGCTGGGAACCGTGGGGACAGGTGAGGCGGGGGCGGGACCAGACGGGGAGAACTCCACAGTGCGGGCTCCCGACCGAGCATCTCGGGCTCCGGGCTTCCCATTCGGGCACGCCCCCTGCTGCTGTCGGGCCCCGGACGCCCAAGGTTTGCAGCCTCTTGTGGTGACTGGGGGCGTGCAGAGGGATAGGCATTAGAATATCGTCTCTTAGCGAGCCTCCCATGTCCTAGCCCCCCAAATTCTTAGTTATCTTCCTCTCCCAGTAGCATAGGGTGTTCTTAAATCTGTGCTCCTGTGTTTCGTTAAGATGACTTTAAAAAAAGAAAATCTTAATTTGGGGTTGGGCATGTAGGTGTTCGGTAGTTTGGTAGGCAATGAAATTTTAAAAATAGTTGTAACCATAGAGATTAGCTTATAGGTGAGACAGTGGCGGGAGGTGAGTAAAACAGCCACATTAATGAGAAACCGGAAGTCTCACACTAAGACTTTTTGACGTAATAGGGAAAAAAATCTTTAAGGAACATATGAAGCGGAGTAATGTGGATCTCATTTTAGAAGCAAGGCGGCGGATAGCTGGATAGAGGATGTGAGAATGGCTATAAGAGACTGTGTTAGGAGCTTCTGTGACAGTTGACTAGGTAAGCATGGGAATCTGGAGAGTGAGCATTAAATCCAACAGGTGGTGCCGAGGCAGAGATTTATGAGATTGGTGGATATGAAGAGGAAGAAAGATTGAAGAGGGTCCGTTGTCTTCTCATGTCATCCGTTGAGTGAATGAACTTAAATGAGAGAGGCGCATACTCTTTTGAGCTGTAGATGAGAAAGTCTACGTGATCAGAGATAACAGTGTATTCTGTACCTAGCATGATAAAATATTTTTCTGCCATTAAAAACATTATGAAGCATTTATTAATTTAGTAAACACAGTAAAAATCAAAAGATTGCCAGTGGTGAACACTTTTCATCTCAGCACTTGGGAGGTAGAAACAGAATCTCATTGAGTGCAGGGCCAGCCTGGTTTACACAGCAACACAGAGTTCCAGACCAGCTAGATTTTATATCTTGAGACTCTATCAAAAAAAAGAAAAAAAAGAAAAAGAAAAAAAGTTCTAGAGCCAGACTTCCTAAGTTACATACACCTTTTATTACTTACGAGACTTTGCATGTTATTTTAACCAAACTAGTTTCCACTATAAAGTAAAACATAGCATCTAACTTTATGGGGTTTTTGTGGGCAGTAAATGAGATATGTGAAGCTCTGAAAAATACCACCTGGCAATAGTAAGAGCTACCAGCTATTATTAATATGTGTTTGCTACTTTATTTAGAAATATTAGCTCTCTCTACAGTTATTCTTAGTATGCTCTTTTTGTTTTGTTTTGGGGATTTGTGTTTGTTTTTCAAGACAGGGTTTCTCTGTGTAGCCCTGGCTGTCCTGGAACTCACTCTGTAGACCAGGCTGGACTCAAACCCAGAGATCCGCCTGCCTCTGCCTCCCAAGTGCTGGGATTAAAGGTGTGCGCCACCACTGCCCAGCCTCAGAACACTTATTTTCTGATGTACTCATCACTTTGCATATTTATGATACAGTATATTGTCTTTGTGTTACTAGAAAAGTAGTTTGGAATTATAGTCTATGAATCAGCCCGTCAACACCATCTGGGAACTTGTTAGCTGCACATGCTCAGGCCCCGTCCCGACTAGCAGAATCAGAAACTTACGTCAAGCAGTCTGTCTTAACTGCACTCAAGAGCGATTTCTAGTGCTGGCTTAAGTTTGAGAGTCAATGAACTGGAAATGAAATAGTATTTTTATTTGCTTGTTTAGCATGTGTCCTAAACTCTCAGGAACAGTACCCAGCACATCATAGGTATCTGATGAATATTTGTTAGATATGTCTGGAGTGGTGGTGCATACCTTTAGTCCTAGCGCTTAGGAGGCAGAGGCAGGGAATCTCCGTGAGTTCAAGACTAGCCTTAGAGTACACAGTGAGACCCTGTCTCAAATAATAAACTACATACTGTATTTGTTAAATTATTGTAAAAATCATTTTTGGTTGTTAAAGGTACTATGAGTTCTTAGAAGAAAATAGCTGGGTATTGGAACAGAATAATTTATTTCTCTTTCTTTTTTTCACATTTCATTACTCTTCAAATTGATTTATACACTGGTTAAAATAACCAAAGCAAAAGAGATACTTACTTCTCCAAAGTGTAGTCTGTATTCTTGTGGCCTTTGAAGGGTAGCTGGCACCGTGTGTCCTAATTTAGGAGGGTTTTGTGGCGGTAACAGTCTTACCGTGTATGGTAATCATTAGCCTATTTATAGCACTCATCACCTACAGCTGTAATTTCTTATCTTGGCTTTTCATTGTCTGAAGAGGTTTCTCTAAAGCCTCAGAAGTGATGGAATTTTGTCATCTGATTAATATATTAGGTGCTTATAGTTATTATTTCAAGTTTTGGTTTTCTGATACCTGTAGACATTTGTCCTTGTGATAAAATTATTGACAGTTTTCACTTTAATTTGCTTGAAGTCCAGTATCAATACCTGAGACCTCACTTTTGTTTGTTGTGTGGATGTGTGTGGACCTCAGAGGACAGCTTATGCTTTCTTGTTCTACTGCATGGCTCCTAGGGCTTAAGCAGGTTATCAGATTGCAGCAAACACTTTTACCTGGAAAGTCATCTATCCAGCCCTGAGATCCTATATTTTCAGAGCTAGGATGGAAACATGACGTGTCCTGCAGAGCAGACTGGTAAACACTAAATCACTCACAGGATACAGAATTTCAATTACTTCTCACCCTGTATACTCTGGTGCATTTTGTTTTGCTCTAGGCCTATGGATTTACTTTGAGAATCAATGGTAGTTCCTAATATTTGGAAGTTCACTGTGCCTGACACTTGCTAAGTGCCCTCTGGAGTCAGCATTACTACATTGCACTTACAAAGGAAGCAGGTTGAGAGAGCTGATGTTTTTGTTGTCTTTCATCAGATGATATAAGTACACTTCGAATCTATA